TTTGATAAAGGTGCCGAAATTACGCTCTGAAGTTACTGATCGGATGATTGAAAAAAAATTGAGAGTGCGAAAATTGCTCGTATTCCATAAGCATCACTCCGATTACTATAAAAATTTAGGTGTAAGTAGTTCTGACCTTCGTGAATAATTTTCACTTAATAAAGAAAGTCGATTTCATTTGACTAAAATGCCGTAATTACGCTCCAAAATTAATAAATGAAAAAAGCAAATTTAAAATTAATATAATTATAAAAATATGCGCGTACTCTATAAGTATTACTCCAATTGCTATAAAAATTTAGATTCAAGTAGTTTTGGCATCGCTAAACAACTTTCTCTTAATAAAGAAAGTCGATTTCATTTGGCTAAAATGGTAAAATTACACTCCAAAGTTTGACGAAAGTAAAAAGAAAAAATTTATAAAATACCCATATCTTTACAAAATACAGGTAATAAAAACTGAGACAAAAGTATTTAATATGTGCTAATTTGTAAATTTACAAAGTTTTAAAATTTTTTTAAAGAAAAATTTTTTATATACGTAAATATAATTTATTATCGTTATATAAAATAAAGATCTCACTTGATTTAAAGATTATCACTGTTATACAAATACATATCTGACTTACCGAAAAATTACTAACAGGCTATACAAAATCAAACATATGACTTATTGGAAAATTATATAATAAGTTTATACAAAACTGGATCCCAGTGTTATATGTATTGTTTGGGGTCCTCATACTTCCCAACACTTTCTATTGTTATTCAATATAAGAAAAATTACCATCCAAAACAATGAGAATGACCAGTCAAAAAAAGAATTACAGTCAAACCTTGATATAACGAACCCTCGATATAGTGAATTTTTCAGACAACTATAATAAATTTCTCCTTGCTATAATGAATTAACCAATCAAATCTCTTAAAATCTTCACTATAGCCCTATAGCGAAGTTGAGGTCTGGAACTTAGGGTTCGTTATAACAAGGGTTGACTGTATATTATAAATTTTATTGATGATTTTTCAGTTGTGCCTGCATGCAATGTTTGAGTTTTAATTATAAATAACTAGGAAATACAATTAGAGGGCAAATATAAAGAAGTTGGATTCTTCATATATAACTATATATGTTCTTTCGTATAAATATTGACAGGGTTGAATTTGAAAATTAAACCAAGTAAAAGTTTCTAGAAGGGTGAAAATATTTTGTTTTATTGTATAAAAACACTTATTAATATTCTTATTTGCTTTTTTTTATAGGTCGAATAAGAGAAGAACTATTAAAATATAATTTTCATTTTTTTTATTTTTTATAAAGTTCTAAAAATTGGTGCAATATAGTTAAAATAAAGAACAATTTATTTTTATTTTCCAAAGTGTACATAGTTAAAATAAAAAACAATATATGCAATATATTACACTATTAATAAAACAAAGAAATCATATAAAATGAACTTTATTGGTAAATAATTGCAGCTAAAATTATGAACCTAAAAACTAATTCTATTCGTTATAATCAAATATCATGTGATATGTCAGATATTCGTAAATTCTCTCTTTTGCTCCTTTTAATAATTATGTCATATATATCACTAGGACCCGAAAATATATATATAGGGGTCAGATGATGAAAAAATTTTTTTACTATGAACTGTATGCATTTTTTTAGGGCCAGAATAGGACCCCAAACATTACATATACAACTCAGTAGCAACTTTTTTGCAGATTGACCTAAATTTCACAAAAAAAAAATCAGTTTTTTGTGATTATCTCGGCATCCAGTGGTCCAATTTATATGAATTTTTTTTTGTTTTGTAGCTCTCATCAAGCTCTACAAAATAAAAAAAATTCGCATGAATTGAATCACTGAATACTGAGATAATCATAAAAAAAATGGAAAATAAAAAAAGAGTATGGATTTTTTTTGGCAAAAAGTCAGTTGTGAGTTCTATAAGAGATGTTCAGGGTCCTGCCAGAATTATAATAATATTAGTTAGTTACTATAATAGGAAATAAAATTCTGATCAGCATTATTAAAAATTATTTAAAAAAGGAAAGATTTTTATGATTTTTTTAGTTCAAAATACGCAAACTCAAACCTAACCCTTTTATATATATTTCTGGGTCCTGTATTACTTTCTTAAATATATAATATATTATATTTTTGCAATTTTAATATCTTTTAATAGAAAATATATTGGTTAATTTTGAATTTGAATTTTTACTTTTATTATATTTCTAGTTAATAAAATTAAAATTATAAAGCATATTCTTTTTATTATAAATAATTTAATTCGTAATTCAGATAAGAATGAGTAAGTAATTTTGCGATTTTAAATGTGAGTGTACTTACATATATAAATCTATCAATTTTTAGCCAAATCATTTGAAATTTTTACTGAAAAAACTTTAAGATTGGCTCTATCATATCTGAATATTTAATGTAATATTTATAAAGCTCAAAAGTTTAAGAATAATTGCATAATAGGTGTAATAAGAAATCAAAAATAAATCAAGAAAATTTTTCATGAATTTTTTTAAAAAAAATTCTTGATTTATATTCAGAATATATGTTTTTAAGGAAATGCAATCTATTTTTAAACTTTTAAAATTAGTATTTAATTCGTATTCTATGTACCAATAGAGAAAATCACTAATTAAATTTTAAGTAAATAAAAAAATCATTTTTTGTGATTATCCTATGATCCAATGATTTGACTTTAGTGAACATTTTTTTATTGTGTAGTCCTCTAAGCTTTCTACAAAATAAAAAAAAGATCTTTAAAATTGGACCAATAGATCGTGAGATAATCATAAAAATGATTTTTTTCAGAATATATTAGATAAATACAGCTGTCCTCTGAAAAAACTCATTTTTTGCAATTATCTCACAATCTATTGGTCCAATTTTAACAATCTTTTTTTATTACATAGAGAAATTGGAGAGCTACACAATAAAAAAATTTTCATTGAAATTGAATTACTGGATCACGAGATAATTACAAAAACAAGTTTTTTTTTATTTTTTTCAAATTTAATTAGTGATTTACTTCTTATTTTTACATGAATCACAAATTAAATACTAATTTTAAAAGTTTAAAAATAGATTAAACTCCATAAAAACATATATTCTGAATATAAACCAAGCATTTTTTTAAAAAAAATATGTAAAAAAATTCTTTTTAATTTTTTTTTATTTTTTATTACTCCTATTTTGTAAATTATTTTTAAATTTAGAGCTGTTATAAATATTATATTAAATACTTAAATATAATAGAGCCAATCTTAAAGTTTTTTCAGCAAAAATTTCAAACAATTTGGCTGAAAATTGATGGATTTACATATGAAAGGACATTCACATTTAAGAATCGCAAAATTGCTTACTGAATCACGAATTAATTTTTTAAGATTATTAATTTATTATATTAATTAATTGATTTATTATTATATTTAAAAATAAAAATAACTTAAAATAAATTGATTTAAATTGATTTTAAATGATTTTAAATAATTTTTAATTCAAAAAATTCTAAGTTTTCTTGGATTTAAAACTACTTTTAATTATAAAAACTAAAAAAATATAAGCTAAAAATTTTGATTACTCTGTACTAATTATTATAAATTTAACTTAAAACTTTAAACTGACTTTTAAAAATTAATTCAGAACTAGAATTTAGTATTATTTATAAAAGTTAAAATAAATTCAATAAAAAAATTGAAATAGACTAATCTTTCCTATTAATAACATAATTATTAATAATTACAAATATGCAGTTTTATATACTATTATATACTTCATTAACAATTATTTTACTAATAAATATTTTATTACAAATATTTTACCAATAGGAAATTTACAGTAACTTTTAAATATTTATTAATATAAAAAATAAATATTATTATATCTGCAAAAAAATCTAGATTATAGTACAATTTAGCATTAATTTATTATAGGAAAATCAATAATGATTTACAAATTTTTTTAATTACTAACTAAAATCAACTTCAGCTTTTAAAATTAATGTAACATTATATATATATGAGTAAACCATTCTGCATTTATTTATAAAGAAGGATTTATTTTAAATTTCAAATAATATTTCCTAAGAAATTTTATGTACGAATATTATGTACATACAGTAAATTGATAATAATGCAGATTGCAGATTTTATTACTATATAGGGTACTGTATAAAATAACTTTAATTAAATTTGTAAATATCAGAATTAATAAAACTTTACAGTTATAGACCTTTTGCCTTATTTGCAGAATAAATGAATATAATGACATATGACATAATGCAATATCCGATATTTTACATGTTTCAAACTTTCAAAACCTTGTGACAGACAAATTTCGAACAGCATCTGGAAACTTAAATAAAATCATTGCCAAAAAGATTATGAAACAATCAATCTGTCAAATTACTAAAATTACATACAGTACAGCACATATAAACTTGATACCGTATTTTTTGTTTATTTAGTTTTTTAATTCTATATAAATATCAGATCAAAAAAAAGGGAAGGCAAATCTAAAAAAAAAACCCCATCGTATGTTTAATTTTAACGAACCTAACCAAATTAAAGTTTAAATTTAATTTAAATATTACAATTAATTAAAAAAAAAAAACTATTAATTTTCGTTTTTTTTTTTTTAAAAAAAAAAATTTTTTTAAATTTTTTCTTGTTTCGTTTAATACATTTGAAACTAAAAGGGTTAATCGTTGCTTAATAAAGGTAATATTACAACTGTGTTTTTAGTAAATTCAGGTGATCAACATACAGAAAAATAATAAAAGATCTTTTTTTTTCTTTATTTAAAATGAAATCACGTTTTATCCAGAAATAGATCATAAATTTGGGCAAAAAAATATTAAAAGTATTTATAATCGTAGATCTGTAATACGAAGTTATTATTGGCTATGTTGATTTATTAAATATATTTTATACTATTTATATAACAAGACAAAAAAAAATGTATGCAAGCTTTTTTTAAACGAAAAGAAAACGAAAATATTATTCTTAGAAAAAAAAAAAAATTTTTTTTTAAAAAAAACAAACTTTCTCATTTTAAATATTTTTTTTAAAAATTTCTCATATTATAAGTTTTTCATTATAAGTGAAAAAATAGTAGAAAAAAAATGTCGGACTTGAGAAACCAGGCAGCTTATTCTTATCCTTCACCTGCGACAAATACTTTACCGAAAGCTGATATTTCACTTCGTGAAATATTAGACATGTATCGTGACAATCATGATCTGTTGAAACAAATTCTTACTGCTAAATCTGAAGAAGACAAAGTATGATTCTCGGTCTCTTATCTATTATTATCATTTTAACGCGTACTATTATTAAATACATTATCATTTTTTGTAATTAGCGTCGAACTGAAGAAGGAAAATATAAAACGGAACAAGTACGCTTACAGTATAAACAAGTGGAATTGGAAATATTAAGGGAACAGAAGAAACCTCCAACAATTTATACCGGAGTTCCACGTAATTATTGTATTGATATTAATCAAATCACCCATATTTTTAGATCAATTTTTAACTTTTTTATTTTTTTTCCCCTAATTTTTTTTATAGCGGTGAATACCTCTACACCAGGATTCAATGTGTAGATATTATTAATTTGTTTTATTTTATCTTTTTTTTTTTTAAAAAAAAAAAAACTTATAATAATAACAATCATAATATTTTTTAATTCTCTTGATCAGAAAATCTCCATCAGACGTGCATAGTCCATATTTATCTATACCACCGCCGATAGGCTGTCTCTTATACACATCTAGATGTGTATAAGAGACAGGAATACCTCTACACCAGGATTCAATGTGTAGATATTATTAATTTGTTTTATTTTATCTTTTTTTTTTTTAAAAAAAAAAAAACTTATAATAATAACAATCATAATACTGTCTCTTATACACATCTAGATGTGTATAAGAGACAGGAATACCTCTACACCAGGATTCAATGTGTAGATATTATTAATTTGTTTTATTTTATCTTTTTTTTTTTTAAAAAAAAAAAAACTTATAATAATAACAATCATAATATTTTTTAATTCTCTTGATCAGAAAATCTCCATCAGACGTGCATAGTCCATATTTATCTATACCACCGCCGATAGGTTTGCCATATTTTAACTTCTTTTTTTTTTTTTAGTATAAATTTGGATATTAAAAAAATTTTATTTTTTATTTATATAGACGCGCATTTTCCAGCAACAACACCAACAAGCGCAACACCGCGTTTATCCCCTCCTTCTTCGGCTACCACTGGCCATGATAGTGTATCTTATAATGGAGTTTCAAATCCACACAATCATTCCTATAGTCCGATGAATCAACGTCCTTCTTTAACACTTTCAATTCCATCATTTCCGATCATAACTGCATCTCCCACTGCTATGCATAATAATCATTCATTTTCTACTCCAACAAGCAGTATACCGGAGCATCCACAATCTGCAACATCTCAAACACACCATCATTATTCACAAAGTCCTACTTCTGTAAATAGTAATAATAAACGTACTAAACTTTCCGAATCTGAAGTGGATCATGAATATGTGATGGAAGCTCTAAGACAAAAAGTACAAAGAAATCAAGAAAATCCTGCAAAAAAATTCATGAATGTCTTAAAACCCAGAAGTGCTAGTATGCCTGTACCCCCATTAAATCAATCAAGTCCAACTCATCATCAGCATCATCACAATAATCGTGATCAACATAAACAGCAATCACCGCATCAACGTCAATCTCAACAACCACCAGCGCCATCACCAGTGGATTCTCCAATGGTACATTCACCAATTCCTCCTCAATTACCTCCCTTGAATGTTCATTCTCCCAGCATGAGTCAAGAACAAGTTGCCAAGACTTAAATTTAATTTGTATTAATTACAACCTTCATATTCGATTTATGTTTGTTTTTTTATTATCTTGATTTATTGTTATTAAAAAAAAAAAAATTGTAATAATAAAAAAAAACCAACTTTCATTATTACGTGCATTATACATCCTGTTTGACTTAATAACATTTATTACTACTACGATGACCACCAACCACTACGGTTAATTAGTTTATACCGGCACTATTTTTTCGCTTTTAGTTCAATCTATTTTAAGTATTTTTTTCAAAGCATCTCCATACTCAGTAACATGTCGTTGTAAAGCACGATTTGAAGCTATATTTATCAAATTGAATTAGTTAAGAAATCAGATAGAGTAGTACGTTAATATTTCAAAAGTTACTTACCCAAAATAGGTAATATCTCTTTCAAAAGCTGTCGCTTTGACATACCCTGAAGAATGTAATGTAAAATTAGCTTATCTCAAAAGCGTTTAAATATTTATACATTTATTCAGACATTACCATAATGAATGGGTCCCAATTCGATCTAGTTTGGTTATTGTTAATAAGGCTATCTTGTCTAAGTTAATAAATAAGAATAAGAACAAATTAATAAAAAATAAATTTTACTACTAAAATTTCATACCCATTGACTGGCCCAAGTAATTCCATACAAAGTTCATGTAATCTGAATTCAGCTCCTTCATCAGCCAGTTGTTGTGCATAGGCAAATAGCAAACGTTTATACTCGGTAGGAGAATTAACCATTTCCGAAGAAACAAGTTGATTCTCTAAATGTCCAATTACATGAGCTTTTCCCTGAGTATCCTTGCCTCCAGAATGTCTTAAATAGGCTAATGATCCAATATTTCCACCACGTTGCCTTGCCATACTTTCCAATGATGCTAAGATTGAACCACCAATCACTTCAGAAGTTTCAGAATTAGAAGGATCTAGAGTTGAATAACGAGGATCATAGACTCGAACCCAAGTTTTCATATCAAGATGATAACACCATGCTTCATTTATACTTGTAACCAATAAAGGTATTCCATTAGGTCTAACACATGCAGAAATAATGGAAACTGTAGAATGAAAGTCATCCGATAATATTGTTGCAGCTTGAAGAATAGGCGCAGTAGATACGGAAGAGACGATAGCCTTTAAATTTCGTAAATCCCTAAAATTAAAAAAAAAGATCACTTTAAAATTGATTTTTTATTAACCATTAAATAATTATTCTGTTACTCACCAAATATAGATTAGGCCAGTTTGAGTTATACAGAGTAAATATTCACGACAAATTTCTAAAAATGATGCAGCTGATTCAAGCATTATAACCGGCAATAATCTAAAAAAAATTAAGAAAAATAAGTAAAAAATTTGAATAAGTATTTTCGATATTATCGATATTAACAATTTAGAAATGATGTACAAACCTTCTACCAGCGCTAGAATATACGAATAAACTACCATCTTCACAAGCGACAGCAGAAAATTGAGAATGTCCCGTTAAAAGTATAATTGAACTTGGAACATAATCTATCCAAACCACCACTTTACCACGAGTACATGATATCTGTGATGGACCTAAAATTTATTTAAAAATAATTATTACATTGAATATTAAATAATTTGGAAATAATCTGATGAAATAACAAACCTTTAGCATTATTGTTAAAACACTCTAATTTTAACGTTGCACCATCTAGACGGTCTTTTGCTAGGTAATCTTTAACCTTGTGAGAGGCTAGTCTCACTTGCGACATTGTCACTGATGGTGGAACTAATCCCGATCTTAAGACATAACCTTCAGTTTCTATTACTGAATCGGCTCTTGATTTACTAAAAGATTGCCTTTTATTTGATTGAGCAGCTATTTCTGATGCAAATGATTCTTTTCTTTTGTTTCCAATAAGTATTGCAGGTATTCCACCAGCTGGTAATGCACGAGAAGGAGCATCTAAATTGCTTGCTTTATCCAAACTTACGGATTGTTGCTGCGATTGAGAAAATATTGAAGTATTAGAAAGATTACCATTTATTGCCGGTGTGCCAACATTATCCTATTTTAATAAAATAAGACAAATTAATTAACGACAGGAAATATATTAATCAAATACATATAAAAGTAAGTGTTACTGTTATAATATACAGTTGGCATAGGCATTGGCACGGGCATAGGCGGCCGAAGTGGAGTACCAGGAGATGATGTAAGCCTTTAAACAAAATCAAGGATTAATACACGTTATAAAATATAATAATAAATCATAATACATCACAAATGGTTTACCCTCTTAAAAATTGGGGTTGTATTCTTTTTTTGCCATCTTTTGTAAGGGTGATATTTTGCTGCGTTTGAGTATTAGTAGATCCGCTTGAACCAGATGCCATAGCATTCTCAATCTCCATTGGCACTGGCCCGTTACTTACGCCAGGTTTTTGCTGTGCAACCTGTCCGCTAACTGAACTTGATTTAATAGTATTACTATTTTCGCTTGTCATCTGTGATGGTGCTGATGATGGTGGACCATAATTTATCTTATCCTCAGAGATTATGACAGTTGGTGGTGGTGGCAATTCTTGATTACCGCTCATTAGGGCAGCTATTCTACCTGATGATGAAGTTTTATTTGTTATAGCAAGTGTTCCTTCCATAGCAAGTTGTGTCGTATTTTCCAATATTATTGGATCTTTCGGAACAAATCCATATTTGGCCAGAATTTTGTCCTATTAACAGTAAATAACATTATTCATATTTGCAAATAAAATGAAAATAATAATATTGACTAATTACATGTTCTTCCATTGATAACCGTGTTCCAAATTCATTATTAAGAAATTGTAAAACTACTACGGTACCATCATATGAACAAGCATAAAGATGTGTACCGTCAGGAGACCTAAATTAATAGGAAAGTGATTAATAAAAATTAAAATAATGAATTAACTATAAATCTTACCATGCTAAATCCAAAACACTATGATCAAACGGTTTTTGACAAACAAACAAAGGCCGCGCATTCCGAGTTACCCACACGGAAATACTGTGATCTTGGCTTCCTACTGCACATACACTGCCAACACTAGCAGAATCCGGATCAGCATCATCGCTCTCGGGTATCATGAAAATAACTGGATTAAATGACTAAATTAATAATTATTATTAGAATAAAGTCAACGTGTGTGTGTATATATAAAAACGTATGCGTATCAACTAAATTAAGATATAAAGTCATTGAATACTCACCACGACTTCAATCGCAGAGTCATGACCAACCAGTGAGACATCAGGCCTCCAATCATTTCTATTAAATATAGCAGCAATTGGAACAGGTCCTTGTGCACCATTTGCAGTAGCAACATGCGATCCATCCGGAGACCAGCTGCAAAAAAAAAGTATAATGATATGTTTAATTTAATCAAATAAGATTAAAACTTTTTATCAATGAAAATTTTACCTTAATCGGCGATAAAATGTTGTTGTGGGAGAACTTGTATATGGTTCGCTGATTTCCGCCTGTACTTTCCAATCCGACGTTCGCCAAACTTTGACAGTTTTATCATCTGACTGTAAATTTACTTGAAAGATCAAAAACTTATTCCCATTTATAGATCGGATTATTTTTTTAAAATTACCTCAGTTGCAAGGTATTCTCCCACAGGGTCCCAGGTCACACCTTTAACAAATCCTTGATGTGCGTCTAATTTATGCAGCTTCTCTATAAAATTAAATTAATCAATCAATTTACCCGGATGATTAAATTATATATGTCAGATACAGTAAACCCTTACCAAATTTTCTACCATCCCATATGAAAACCAAATTATCTAATCCACATGAAGCTAAATAAGTATTGTCTCTAGACCATGCAAGGTCCACGACGTCTTTTAAACGGTGATTAATTAAACAAATATTTAATTAATTTCAACATAAGAATTAATAATAAAAAAGCTATTTACCTGATTGATGTCCCGTAAGACGACGTACTGGTTTCCAATTTTCAATATTTTGCTCACCACTTCCAAAAATGCTTTGACCAGCCCAAGCTTCAGTTGATCTAAAACAAGGATGGCATTAAAAAATTAATAATTATTAATATGAAATAAATCAATCAAAAAAATATTACTTGTCCCATTCCCATATTAATAAAAGTTGATCATCTGAACCAGATGCCAAATAACGTCCATCTCTGTTAGACCATCTTACACAAAGAACCGAACCTGTAAAAAAATCAATCATTAAATCGCGTTAATTGGGCACAATAATTATAAAAATAATAAAGATAATATATATAATATATATAAGTGTTATTAACCGTTATGTAAACCCAAGGTACATAATAATGTCGGAAAATTAGGATCACGAGCTTTGGAACCATCGATTATAGGTATAGTACTCCATAATTTGATTTTATTATCTAGAATTACACGGTAATTTCAAGTATAGAAATTGTAGATTTTAAATTCTATCAAAAATATATCAAACGAGAAATCTATATCTGAAGTTGAAACTTTACCAAGTCCGCCCGTTGCTATTCTAGTTCCGTCAGGATGTACGTGTATTGAGAAAATCGAAGTTCTTTGGCCCTTATCATCTAGGAGAAATGACAAACAAACATTTCATTATTACTATTGTTGTTTCGATTAATATTGAAATAGTATAAAATAGTATTCACCTAAATGAGCAAGCCAGCTAGGTTTTGCTAAGTGCATTTCAAACGTATAAAAGTTGGGACAAAATAATAAAAAAAAAAAAAAAAAAATT